CTCCGTAATGCCATTTAACATGGTTGCTCTATTCTCTGTTTTCTGTGACTCAGTGGTTGGATCTAAAGGCTTGGTCAGGGCCAGGATGGTGGTTCACATGTGTATCTCAGCACTTAGAAAGGTTGAGGCAGGAGGATTTCTTGAGGCTCAGAGTTTGAGATTAGTCTGGGCAGCAAAGTGAAACTTTGTCTCTACTAAAATAAATAAATAAATGAAGCCTTGATCAGATTCATGGTTTTTTTGTTTTGTTTTGTTTTGAGTTGGAGTCTCACTCTGTACCCTGGGCTAACAGTGGCATACTCACAGCCACCCCAGCATCAGCCTGCTGGGCTCCAGTGATCCTTCTGCCTCAGCCTTCCAAGTAACTGGAGCTACAGGCCCATGCTACCATGTCTGACTAATTTTTTATTTATTGCAGAGACACGGTCTCACCAAGTTGCCCAGGCTGGTCTCGAACCTACGGGCTCAGGCAATCCACTCGCCTTGGCCTCCCAAAGTGCTGGGAATACTGACTAAACCACTGAGCCTGGCCTTTTTTCTTTCTTTCTTTCTTTTTTTTTTTTTTTTTTTAGTCGGAGTCTCTGTCACCCAGGCTGGAGTGCAGTGCCATGATCATGGCTACCGCAGCCTCAACCTGCTGGGCTCAGGTGATTCTTCTGCCCTCAATCTCCAGAGTAGATGGGACTACAGGTGGATGTCACCATGCCTGGCTAATTTTTTAAAATTTATTATAGATACGAGGTCTTGCCATGTTGCCCAGGCTGGTCTTGAATTCCTAGGTTCAGACATACAGTCCTATTGCCTTAGCCTCCCAAAGTGCTGGGATTATGGGTGTGAGCCACTGTGCCTGGCTGATTTTTTTTTTTTGACAAGACTACTTTATGTTTACCATTAATTCTCCCATTCCCAAAACTCATACTAATTATCTCCCTCTTTTTGATGTTAGTGACCATTAGTAAGCAATGCCTGAATCTGTTAATTCTTTAGGGGTTTTCGAATGGTGATATTTCAATTCTATCTTTTTTTATTTATTAACTAGAGGAGTACTTTAATAAAAACCTTCCTTCATCAACAATTTGGTTTTCCAGTAGTATCGTTTATATAAGAAAGACAAGAGAAATTATTCTTTTCCTTTGTTTACCTGCTTTTAAAATAGTAGTTGGTTCACCAGAACTCTTCAACAGTGACCCATTGGCTTCAGGCCATTGCAAGTATTATCCTTATTGATGCTCAGATCGTCCCATCTTTGGCCTTTGGGGGCCACTTTAGGTTGGCTCCTGAGTTCTGTTGACACTGCCGTAGGAGTCTCTGATGATTGCCTTGCCTAGGTATTATGAAAAAAAAGTTTCAGGCTCATTTTGGACATTTCCTGAGTATTTCAAGATCATACTCTGGATACTAATGATGCTCGTTACAACTGGTTTCGTAGCTGTTTTCAGACCTTTTCAGTGTTCAGGGCCAGGAAATATATTTGTTTGCTTTTTGGTGTATTTGCTTTTTAAAGAAGATACATTGTAAGTTCACATTGATACTTCTAATTCCTATGTAGTATTACAAAGCTTTTACTAAATCCTTTTATCTTACATCTGTATCTTCTTTCTCCCATGCCAAGGCTCTGATTTCTCAATGACACCAGCGATGACAGAATTAAAGTGTCAAATAAGCATTTGTTTTATCCACCATTTACTCACAACAATCTAATAATAACAGTACCAACACTACCACTAACTATGGGAAATATTACCTTTACGTCTTCTAAGTTTTTTTTTTTTAAGCTCTGGAATACCCTTTCTTGCCTTGTCTACTTGGCAACTTCTTGTTATTTCTCAGAATCCACTTCAGATACCTTCTCCTTGGTGAAGTTTTTCTTGACTTCTCCAGGTAATGTCACTTACATATTCTCTGTGCTCTTCTATGGTTCTTTGCTCCCCTGGATGGTAATTTTCTTATTTACTGCAACTTCGGAGACTGGGAGTTCCTTGAGGGCCGAGTGTTGTTTACCAACATAGCCCAGCTCCCAGCAGATGCTCAGAGAGAGCTTGACTTTGAACAAGTGACAGTTGATAGGCATATCATATAGCACTCAGAACTTTCCTGCATTTATTTGCCAAGTTACTTGGGATACCTTTACTTGGCCATTCACTTAGGTTCTACTCTGTGTTAATGCTGGGGATACTGGGATGAACAGTGGAGATAGGTCCTCATTCTCCTAAGATTTTGTACCCTGATTTTATATCTCATGCATCACGCAGACTAAAAGACTCTTTTAAAAATTTTTTAATTTAATGTTTTTTTTTTTTTTTGAGATGATGCCTCACTCTGTCACCCTCATTGGAGTGCAGTGGCACAATCAGTCATAGCTTACTGTAGCTTCAAACTCCTGGGCTCAAGTGATCCTCCTGTTTAAGCCTCCTGAGAAGCTGGAACTGCAAGTATGCACCACCATACCTCGCTAGTTTTTCTATCTTTTGTAGAGACAGGGTCTCGCTGTGTTGCCCAGGCTGATCTCAAACTTCTGGCCTCAAGTGATCCTCCCACTTCAGCCTCCCAAAGTGCTGGACTTCCAGGTATGCGCCACTGCGTCCAGCTGGCCCTTTAAATTAAAGAGAATCATGACTGTGGGAACTGCTGATGGGAACACCTAGAGCAAGCAGTGGCGACACTGGCAAGCTTGGGTGCTGAGCTGAAACAAGGAAAGGAGCAGGGAATGCCGTGCCATAGTGGGGTCACCCAAGATGCGGAGCATAATGGGATCACCCAAGATGCAGAGCCGGAGTGGCCAGAAGTCAGGTTTTAGGCCAAGAAGAAGGAGAGGCCGTCTTTGAGAGGCAAGGGCGTGCTGGCTGAGGTGATGTTATAGACCACGTCTGGCGCAAAGGATAATAGCATCCTACTTTACACCCTGTGATCCAAGTGTCCGGAATTCCCAACTTCTTCCCTGCAGGCCACCCATTAAAAGTTGGCAGCAGGAGAAGGGAATTTTCTAGTCCTCAAATTCTTCCCTGGTCTTGACAGGGAAACTTACTATTTGGAACAGACAGCTAGAAAGATGAGAGGAAAACAGTATATAGTTTTGAAAACAAACTCTCCAGTGCCCACCCTGCGGGCTCGTCTGTCCCTACCTTGACTTGGCATTTCAAAAACCCCAGCTGATGTTTTCTAGAAGCTGCCAGGCCTTTAGGTTCCTTTACTCCAGCAAGTTACAGCTGCTGCTCTCGTCTAGTCAGTTTACACCGATTTTGTTGGCTGTGTTTCCCTTTTTTGAGCCAGTAGACTTGGGCAGATAGCACCTGCCTCATAACACCTGCCTCAGCCTCGTGGTGTGGCCCAGCGCTGACATCTGAATGGGCGACTGCCCTGAGAAGGTCTCCAAGGAGGCCTGGCTTGCACTCGTGGAGGGTCAGGCCCTAGGAATCTCTTCTCCGCCATTTGCCTTTCTCTCCCCTGGATTTAACCCCATCTCTAGCCCCTCTTTCCAAGTCCCATCTCTTGCAGACCCCCAGTTGCTTCAAATTCATTTTGTGCCAAACTGGACTGATCCTCTCCTCCAGCCAAGTTCCCCTTGTGTTTTCCTGTCTAGGGGGACAGTACTACCACCCACACCATCCCCAGCTGCCAGGTTCTTTATTACAGCCTCTCACAGCAACTTGCGATTATAATGAAAATAATCATGCTTTATGCGTTTGTTTGCCTTGTTTTTCCAATAAACTGTACATTCTTTGGGAGTCGGGATCACATTCATCTTATTCATTGTTGTACCCAGTGACTTATACCTGAGTCCTCCATAAGTATCCGATGGATTAAGAAATCCACCCAGTCTGGCCGAGAGCAGTGGCTCAAGCATGTAATCCCAGCACTTTGGGGGGCCGAGGCGAGAGAATTGCCTGAGCCTGCGGGTTCGAGACCTACTTGGGCAACTTGGCGAGACCTCATCTCTACAATAAATAATAATTTTTTAAAAATTAGCTGGGCGTGGTAGCGCATGCCTGTAGTTCCAGCTACTTGGAAGGCTGAAGCAGAAGGATCGCTGGAGCCTTGCAGGTCGAAGCTATGGTGACCATGAACAGTGTGCCATGCACTTCAGCCTGGGCAACGGAGTAAGACTCCAACTCAGAAACAAAAAAAAAAAAAAGAGAGAAATCCACCCAGTCACCTGAGCTAGAACCCTCAGCATGAATACAGTTCCCCCACTCACCGTTTATCTTACTAGTCAGCGAGTCTTGTCTTTCCTGCCTCTGAACTATTTCTCAATTCCGCCCTGTCATTCCCATGCCCAGCATCCAGAACTGGTCATTTCCAGCCCATCCAATAGGCAGCCACAGGGGTCTTTGAAAACTTATAAATTGGGTAACCCCGTTGGGTCCCCTCCCACTGTGGGAGCTTTTCTGTCCTCTCAATAAATCTTGCTTTCAAAAAAAAAAAAGAAAACTTATAAATCTGACCACACCTTTGACTCTGTCACTCACCTATTTAAAAACTTTCTGGGGGCCTCTTGTCTTCTAAAGAACAGAATCCTGACTCCCTGTATCGCCGTGATCTACCCCTAACCTATCTGTCCTACCTCATGTCCTGCCATTAGTTCCTGCGTAACCTTACGTTTCAACTACCATGAGCAGCTTTCCAGTTTCCAAATCTTTAAGTTCCTTCACATGCACGTTATCATTGCTCCTTTCGAGTTTTAACACAGTGCTGTCACAGAGGAGAGAGAGAATGAAGAATGGGTGCAGGTAGCTTTGGGATCTGGGTTGGAGGGGGACACTGGGTTTAGAGGAAAGGAAAGAGGAAAACTTTGAAAAACGTCATCGTTCCTCCAATAGTCATCTCTACTTTGAGCACAGAAATCAGCCTCAAGGCTCAAGATTTTTGGGAGTTGGTGGCCGACTGCTGTGATGTTGAAGTTATACCCCTAAATGCAAATGAATACTGTTTGCTTCAGTGGGAGCTCTTCCTGTCTGTGGGGGGTGATCTTTATGTGAGAAGTTTCTCTCTTTGTTTTTCAGTTGTCTATTGTTTTCTGGAGCGGCTTCTTTTGGATGCAGCATCCCCAGCAGAAAAGCAGAATGACCAGAGCCAGCTGGAAAACTGATGGTGGATGGCATAGGGTCCCGACATGTGGTTGGTGCTGCACTGAGGCCGAAGCACCCGTGTAACAGACAACAATTGCATGTTGCCTGGCACGTATGTGTTTTAGCTTTCCTTTTCACCTGCTGATTGTCACCTTGGCAGATTTGGACAGAAATGCCAGGGAAATGCCAGGGCAGGGTCAGGCCTGCTCAGTGCCCTCCCCCAAAGTGATGTGCTTCACTCTTCATACCTGAAATAGACCCACTCTAACTGCTCCTGTCCCGTCTCGGAATTGTGTAGATTACCTGGGTGATCCTCTTCTCTGCAGATACTAGCCATTCTGAAGTAGCCAAACAGTAAAAACTTTGGTTGGGATGAATTGGGAGCTTGAAAATTTGTCTTTGGTAACCTGATACTGGGCAACTGGACCTAATAATTGCAGAATAAATACCTCACCTAATGTCTGTGTCTGCATTTTGTGACTTTGGCCTTAAGTTTTTCCTTGATGATTTATCTTTAGCGGGCTGGAGGCTGCTGGGAATCTGATTTAATGTGCTAACTGTTACGATGTGTGGATTAAAATGAACATCGGAATTCTTCGCTTGTAAGAATAGAATATCAGGTTTAAAGAACGTGTTCAATTACAACCCATTTTAACACAGAGATTTTATTTTACTTTTTTTTTTGAGTTGGAGTCTCACTCTGTTGCCCAGACTGGAGTGCAGTGGCATGCTCCTGGCCACCGCAGCCTCGACCTGCTGAGCTCCGGCAATCCTTCCGCCTCAGCCTTCCAAGTACCTGGAACTATAGGTGCATGCTACCACTCCCAGCTAATTTTTGATTTATTGTAGAAACGATTTCTTGTCAAGTTGCCCAGGTGGGTCTTGAACCCACGGGCTCAGGCAATCCACGCGCCTTGGCCTCCCAAAGTGCTGGGATTACAGGCTGAGCCACCAAGCCCAGCCAACACAGAGATTTTAGAAAAATCTCTTAGGGTGCTTTGAGTGCCTCTTCAAGGTGGCATGACTTCCTGGCTAGAGTACATTAACCAGAGAAACCAGTGATGCCACAAAAATGCTTTTTGTTTAGAGTACATACTATCTGGGAGGCTGAACTTCTGATCGGTCAGGACTGCTGATTCCCTCCTGGTTCTCTTTCTTCCAGACAGTGTTCCCTGGGTATTTCTGAGATAGCTACAAAGATACATTTGGGCTTAAAAGATTGACCTTGCAGATAAAGGAAGACGCATACACACTCAGGCTATAATGAACTTAAGGACACCTTGGCAAATCTCCATTGATTTGCTCAGCTAATATATACCGAGTACCTACTATGTGCTGGGTACTGTTCTGGCTACTAGGGTTAGAACACTGGACAAAACAGGCAAGCTCCCTGTTCTGGACCTTACAGCTCAGTGGGGTCACCTCTCAGTGGCTGCCGGCCTCAGGCCTCTCTCAAGGCCCCGTTACCTCCTTTGCCCAGCCTGTTCTGTGGGAAGTCCCTTGGCAGCCGTCTCTGGTTGGTCCTCACTCTGCCCCTGGGCCTCACAGAATAAACCTGAGCCTTGTCCCCTTGGTTAACTTCAGATGTGTGAAGACAGCTGTTGTGTTCAAGGATTCAGCTTGAATCCTCCAGCCAAATATTTCTGTTGTCTTCAAGGACTCTTTGGAGAACTTGGAGCCTGTTCCTCCTGGTCACCCTCAACTGGTACCTGGTTCACGCTTTAATACTTACTCCTGCTACCCAAGGCAGTAATTGGGATACAGGCGGATCCTGTGAATTCCCCTGCACGAGCCACCTGCAACCCCCTCTTCCTGTCTCCCTCAAAAGGTGGCAGAATTTTTCTTCTGTTGAAGAACAAAAACATATAGATGTCTTTTATCCACATTTGAGGAAGAATTTAGTAGCTATGAAGTACTCTTAAGTTGGTATACTGGCAAATTTTTCCAGAATTAAGTTTAGAGATCCTATTATAAACATAGTCTGGGTTTGTTTTTGTTTTTGAATTGGGGGTCTCACCCCAGGCTGGAATGCAGTGACACCATCACAGCTTATCACAGCCTCCAACTCCTGGGCTCACATGATTCTCCTGCCTCAGCCTCCTGAGTAGCTGACTATAGGCGTGTGCCACCATGCTTGGCTTTTTAAAAATTTTTTATTTTTGTAGAGATAAGGTCTCACTATGTTGCCCAGGCGGATCTTGAACTCTTGGGCTCAAGCAGTCCTCCTGCCTCTGTCTCCTGCTGAGATTACAGGCATGAGCTACCATACTCGGCCTGAATTTAATTTTTAAGAAAGGATTTTAGACACAACCAGCATCATAAGTTAGGATCATTATCTTTATAGAAAAAAAGGGACGTTATAATATCAAATAATCTGGAAGGGCATAATCTCAGTACTAAAAACTTGAATAAACTTGCCTTTTGAAAACCTGTTAATTTTTTTCTCACCTGGCCAATGATCGGTGAAAATTTCATGGACCAACCAGCACCACCACTTGGGAGCCTCTGCCCTTGAGACCCCTATGTAGCAATTAAGAATTACATTCAGTTGTAAGAGAACCCTGACAAGCAGTGGCTTAATTAGCCATTTTGTCTTTCTCATGTAAATAGAAATTTAGAGACAGTCTGAGGCTAATATGGCTGCTCCCTGATGTCATCAGGTTTCTAACGACATCTTTTTATTTTTCTTCTGCTCAGCAGCCCTTAGCATGAAGTTGTCATCATCTGATCCCAAGACAAGCTGTTCTGTCTCCTGCAGTGTAGGAAGGGAGGGATCTGGCTCACTACCATGTGCGATCTTTCAGGCCTGATGGAGAAGGCTGTCTGCTCATACCTGACTAGGGGCCCGACCAGTGTGCTGTGTCTCTGAAGGGGCTCACAGTCATACAGCTGACTTCCTCCAACCCCTGCCGTGCTCTTACACCTATCTGCGTTTCTAGCCCAGGCTCCTCCATTTAGAGCCTCCCATAAGGGAGACAGGGAAGAGCCCTAGCCATGGCCTCTCTCAGGCACCTCTGTGGAGATCAACTTCATTAAGGGCTTGTGGGACCTGAAGACACTTTTCTCCACTCCTAGGATTCAGTTATTTTCTATTCCTAGCCTTTCCCCGTCTCCTTCCCAGCCCTGGAGTCCACACAGTGACAGGAGCCTTTTGTTTGGGCATCCCTTGACAGACAATGCCCACCTCTGGACTGATCTACGTGACCCTTGACTGGCACTGTTCTATGGGGGAAGATGGAAATTAGAAGATCCAATGCTTACCTTGAGTATCTCAAAGCAAGTGATAAAAGGCTTCCTGTTACATTCATTTTCATTTGTCTTAACCAAGGACTGGAAGCTCAGGTCTCTCCAGCTCAGCTCAGCTCTTGACAGGCAGCAAGAAGGAAGAGGACAACAAGGGGTCAGCCAGTGGACCAAGGGACTTAGCCTTCTTTTTTTGAGTTGGAGTCTCACTCTGTCGCTCAGGCTGGAGTGCAGTGGCACACATGCTCACAGTCACCCCAGCACCAACCTTCTGGGCTCCAGGGATCCTTCTGCCTCAGCCTTTCAAGTAGCCAGAACTACACGTGTGGGCTACCATGTCTGGCTAATTTTTTAAATTTTATTGTAGAGACGAGGTCTGGCCAAGTTCCCCGGGCTGGTCTCAAACCCGTGGGCTCAGGCAATCCATTCATCTCACCCTCCCAAAGTGCTGGGATTACAGGCTAAATCACGGAGCCCAGCCAGACTTAACCTTCTAGTAAGCTTTTTCCAAAGCCCTACCAACATTTTCTCATTATCTTATTGGTCAGAAGTGTATCCCATGGTTACCCCTAACTGCAAGGGAGGCAGGGAAACACTCTTTAGCTGGGCACACTGCCACCCTGAATGAAACCAGAATACTGTTAGTAAGAAGGAGGAGGAAATGGGTTTTAGATAGATAACTGCTACATCTTGGAATGGTATAGAAAAATTAGCCGGGCTCGTTGGCTCAGCCTGTAATCCCGCACTTTGGGAGGCTGAGGTGAGTGGATTGCCTGAGCCCGCGGGTTCGAGACCCGCCTGGGCAACTTGGCGAGACCTCATCTCTACAATAAAATTTTTAAAAATCAGCCGGACATGGTAGCGCATGCCTGTAATTCCGGCTACTCAGATGGCTGAGGCGGAAGGATAGCCGGAGCCCAGCAGGTCGAGGCTGCGGTGACTGGGAGCGGCCACTGCACTCCAGTCTGGGTGACAGAGTGAGACTCCAACTCAAAAAAAAAAAGAAAAGTTAATGGATGGTGATTTGTCCACCATCGGTTTGATTTCATTTGTTGGAATTATATAAGAGTTGAGAAATGACTGAGCACAGTGGCTCACATCTAATTGCAGCACTTTGGGAGGCGGACATGAGAGGATTGCCTGAGTCCAGGGGTTTAAGACCATCCTGGGCAACTTGGCGAGACCTCATCTCTACAATCAAAAAATTAGCTAGATGTGGTGGTACATGCCTGTGGTTCTAGCTACTTGGAAGGCTGAGGCAGAAGGGTCACTGGAGCCCAGCAGATCGACGCTAGGGTGGCCATGAGCATGCCACTACACTCCATCCTGGGCGACAAAGTGAGACTCCAACTCAAAAAAGAAAAATAATTGAGAGAAATGAATTTTTCGGAAGATGGCAGTGGCACTAGCTTAGTTATTTTGAAACTCCCTGAATTCTCATAAAAACAGAGCACCCAGGACAGTAAAATAAAAAAACCCTATAGACAATATCTATAGCAAAACTAGGTGGCAAAGTATCCCCACAAACCCCAAAATCCAAGTCGATGGAAATACTGGCAGCCTGAAGGTTTACACGGTATCAGCATTTTTTTGTGGAAAGAAGCAGAAGAAACAACAGGGTGTCTGAGAAATCAGAAAATAAGAGAAGCCCAAAATAGTCAGCAGATACTCCCTGGAAAACACAGCAGACCAACAGGAGAATAGCAGCTGGAACTGGAGTTTTGTAATACCTACCTGGAAGCTCATGAGTGCCAGGGCTTCAAAGGAAGGTCTGCAGAAGCTGGGGCAGCACAGTCCTGTAAACTCTCAAAAGTAGCCAAAGTTTCTTTCCTGGACACCAGAGAAAAAAACTGCAGGGAACAAAATACAAATAGGGCGGGCCAGGAATTCTTGGGGCAAAGGATAAATGGGGGGGAGGGACGGACACAACAGAGCCAAGAGACCTCAGCAAGGATGAAGCCGTATCTTTGAACACTTCGTGAAAACATGGGAAAGGAAGCTGAAGAGCCTTAAATTTAGAAAAGCTATCCTACTTCACCTCTTCTCCCTAAATGTGCAGAAAAACTACTTTCATGTAAAAAGGAGCAACAGGCCAGGCTCTGTGACTCAGCCTGTCATCCCAGCACTTTGGGAGGTGGAAGTGAGTGGCTGCCTGAGCCTGCTGGTTCGAGACCATCCCGGGCAACTTGGTGAGACCTCATCTCTACAATTAAAA